TCACATAAAATAGTTTGAAATATTTGAAAAACACATGTTTTTTTAAAAAATATGTCACATTATCCACAGTGTTCTGTAGTTCTCTTTAACTTAGTGTGTACTGGAAGTCACAATAGATCAGTACATATAGACTTACCTTATTCTTTTAAATGACTGATAATTCATTTGTATGAATCCATTTTAACTAGGATGCTGAACAGGTTTCTGCAGAGCTTTCAGACTATGACAGACGAGGAAGAAAGAACTGGTGATCTACTTCTGAATACCCGGCAATGAACAGTGTGATTTCTTTGTGCACGGTGTTGCCATGAATTGGAGTCAACCTGACTGCAGCTGACAAAAATATCAATGAAAGAAAAGAGATGCACCCTCCTTTCATTAGCAGACTTTGGTTGATTGCAAACTGTGTGCAAAGCTCTGTGCTTGTTGCTTGTGGGATACAGTGAAGCATCTAGCCTTCAATGAACTTCCTGTCTACAGAGTAAGAGAAAAGGTATACTGAGTTATAGCCATCCAACGTAGTATGTCACATAGGATGTTTTGGTTGCTCAGCAAAGGAAGTAATTCTTTCCAGGTATTTTTTAGGTGGAGTTGCTCAGTGGGGGTAGAGGAGATGGCCTGAGGTTGGGGTGGACATAGTGAGGGGACAGAACTGCCTCACAGCCTGGTTTCTGTCAGAGGGTTTTGGACTGAACTGTGGCCAACTGCTTCCTGATGTTTTAAAGCTGTGCTCCCTCTGGTACTATCCAGGCCTGCTCTAGGGTCTGCCAAGGCAGAGCACCTCAGTCCTCAGAGCTCAACTTCAAAGGTCAGGCTTCCCACTGCCCACCTGGCTATATAAGGTTTATTGGGAAGAGTCAGCCCATGAAGTGGGGAAAGAGTTCTCACTCACACACATACCCATGGGCAGGGCATATAAAACTCACTCTCGTCCTCCCGTTTACACAAAAAGTTATTTTCTGATTCTGCAGACCCCACCACATCTCTCTCCTGGGATCTAAGCTGAGAATCTGATCCCAAACACACCCTTCTCTTTCTTCCCAGCAAGCAACAGGCTGGCTGTGTGACACTTAGTTTGGGTGTCTTCAGGCTTCAGAACTGATTGGCCCATAGTATAGTTACAGAGGTGGGAAAGCCATGGGTGTGAGGGTGATGAGGGTGGGGAAGAGACAGGCAGGAGGAAGCCTGCATTGCTCCCCAGTGAGGTTCACCATCTCAGACAGAGTTACCTCAACTTCAAGGCATACTACTTTTCAATCTTTTCTAATGAACAATCTATCTTCCTTGGGTAGGAACTCCAACTGAGGCAATGGGGATACCAGACTATACAGTAGAAAGGATATATGAATGTGTACATGGGAGGGGAGAGGACATTGATAATGGGCATTCTGGGTGCTGAAAAGGATGGCTTTGAGGCTGAAACAACCGGGAACACTCACTCTTAAATTTATGCCCAGTTTCCCCATCCCCAGGTGAAGAACGGAGGACTCTGGGATTTCTATTTCAAATTCCTCATTCATTTATTTCTGACATTTACTTTGTTGTAACTCCAAATTATCAAAGATGCAGGACAAGAAGAGAAATCTGTAGCCGGAAAAGTGAAGTGGAGGACAATATGGTGCTTCTTCTCTTCCTGTTTATGGTACAGTTGGAAAAGTGTACAAATTGTGTTCCTTAGTACAGACTCTACAGCTAAAAAAGTACAGTGCAGTGGAGTGGGGCGAGCTTCCTTCTCCATAGGTTAGGCCTCCACAGTTAGTGAGGCAGGTGAGTGTGATCTTGAGTCTGGGTTAAAGCCTGTGTACTTAGGCAAGGTGGGGCTGTGTGGGGACCTGCCTGCCATCCCTCCAACCCCCAAACCCAGATTTTATTTGTGGGCTGACAGGATTTAGGCTGGGAAATCTATAGGCAGAGATGACATTGCACAGCATGATTTGTACTCAGGGACCCTCAGAGGTCAGGGACAAGAAGCATGTGATAGTTACTGGACTTGATTTTTCCAAAGATAGGCAGGTAAGATGACATTATACTAGAAAGGGCTTGGCTGCTGTGGTTCATGGGCTGTAGGATTTCAGGGGAGCAAGGCATGGGACTGGCCCTCAGTCAGGATGGGTGAGGTCTGCCTGGCCCTGCTGCTCATGTGAGGGCTGGTGGCAGGGTGGGGTATGTGAAGGCTATTGTCCTCAGCTGCCCCCTCAGGACTCAGATTTTACTACTCTCCCTACAGCTGCCTCCTTGGACAAGTATTGCCATCTGAGACCACTCAGTACGAGGGCCAGACAAACATGCCTGGATTCACTGGCAGTTGAAATTGCTTTGAGGGATAGTCGTGTATTTTACTGTGGTCTTTCACTCCTCAACTAACATCTCTGCACACGGGGCCAGAGAATTGGCAGATGTACGCAGCCCATCGGTGTCAGGGCAAAAGAGAGTGACCTGGCCGGCTGGAGATCTTAGGGAAGTCACGGCTTCATGGAGCACTACAGGGCCATTAGAGTCCATCTACACAAGCCTCATTTTACTGAGAAATGGAGTCTCAGAAAAGAGAAGTGACTGGTCCTAGAGCTAATGAGTGAACAAAATGTGACCAGAATCCAGGTCCTCTGACCCTCAACTCAGTGGGCCTTAATTAAGGACTGAAAGCAGTGCCAAAGGTCCTGAACTGAGAGATGTAAAAGGTGTGAATTCCTCTTCCCTCACCTCCCTCAAATGCCTCCTGTCCTTTGCTACACAAAACAGATTCCAGCCGAAGAGGCAGTTCATTCCCTGTCTGGTCCCCAGCAGCACTCAGATTCAGGTATGTGTGGGGGGTGCTGGTATCTCATTAGAAGAGGGCAGTAGCCGCCTACTGCAGAGGCATCTGGAAAGCTCACTGGGCACAGTGCCTCAAAAAGCACAAGGCCTCTGCTGAGTTAGAAGTGGGAAATGGGAATTGGGGCTATAGTGATATATCAGTAAGTGGCCTGTTTCCAGATTGGTGTGTGTGTGTGTGTGTGTGTGTGTGTGTGTGTGTGTGTGTTGAGGGGTGAGGGTGAGAAGCAGCAAGCATGGAAGCCAGTTGCCAAGTAAAATCCCTCCAGTCCTCAGAAGTGAGAGGTGCTGCTTCTGGTGGAGTGAGTGGGCTCTGGTGACCAGGGTGGATGCTGAGAGAAAGGCACGGCTCTAGAGAAGCTGATTTGACTGAAACAATGCCCTATGGAGCTTCTGGACTCTCTCTGTAACAGCCAACTGGTTGCTATAGGAACTGGCCACTTCAATCACCTTTTGGCTTGAACAGACTGCAGGTCAGATTTTTCTTTCTAATTGGTACATCTGAGACCCTTCCACTTTGCAGACCTGGAAGATGGCAAAGTCCCTGGTGTCTGCTGGTGTTGTCGGGTGTGTGCAGGTGTGCCTGTATGCACACACCTTCACAGGTCTGCACCCTGCACACTGCTTGATGGGGTGGGTCCAACAGACAATCAGCAAGACCTCAATCACTAAGCTACTTAAAACTCTGGTAACAAAACTTGAAAAAAGTTCTCCAGCAGGGGGCAGCTGGCTCCTAAGGCAGAGAAAGACGACTTGGGGAGACAACGTGGGTGCAGTCCCCACAAATAATCTTATTCCATAGCCTTTAAATGGGCTCTGGTGTGGTGCTGTAGGATAAACACTGGACTGCTAACTACAAGGTCACCGGTTCAAATCCACCAGCCGCTCTTGGAAACCCAGGGTTGCTACAAATTAGAACTGACTCAATGGCACTCAACAGCAATGACAATATGGCTTTTAAAGTCCACTTGACATGTTCCATGAGGAAGGGAGTGGGTACAGATGTGGTGGGCCAGGAATCAATATCCTATTGGTGGTGGTGGGGCTGTGTGTGCTGTGGAGTCAGTTCCGACTCACAGCGACCCTGTATAGGGTTTCCGAGGCAGTCCTGGTGTGGCGCTGGGGGATAGTGCACTGAACTGCAAGGTCAGCTTGAACCACAAGGTCAGTGTTTCAAGTTCACCAGCTGCTCGTTGGAAATCTTATACAGGGACGCTGTGGGTCGAAACTGACTCCAGGGCACCTAACAACAACAACAACAAAATCCTTAGGAGAACAGAAAGCCTCATCTTTCTCCCATAGAATGGCTGGTAGTTTTAAACTGCTGACCTTGAGTTCAGCAGCATGACTCCTAACCACTACGCCATCAGAGCTCCTTAAGTTGGCTTAGTAGGTGTGTTATTTTTAAAAAAGACCTAAGTATTAAGGTCAGGGCATGCCAATGTTTACAGATCAGCAACTTGATTTACAAAAAAAACCAAAACAAAACCAAACCCAAGCCCACTGCCTTCGAGTTGACTCTAACTCATAGTGAGTCTATCTACAAAGGGCTTTAAAGACAACATGACATGTTCCATGAGAAAGGGAGCAGGTACAGACACGGTGTGCCAGAAGTTAATACCCTACTTGTGCAGCTACGTTGACTGTGGCATCTATAGACCCAAAGTACACGACAACTGGATTGTGAATGAGCTCTTGGGTTCTTTTTAAGAAAGGCTTGAAGCGGTCCCTTTAATAAACCTTCCCCTCCTCAGATGCTGAAATGTTTTAGCTTTCAATTCTCTCCTTGCCCTTTGTCCCCCTTTCTTCTAGGCAAGGCCAATTAATCTCTGAAGGACTCGGGAAACCTCTAGAACCTTTGCTTAGCTTTCCCTGATGCTACTTCTCTGAGGGTTACGCAAAGCCAGAAGAGGGAGCATGGTGGTGCTGGGGATGGCCAGAGGAATATCCCAACAGATCAAGAGGCAAAGGTGCAACTCTAACCTATCAGGCCCACACATCCAGGTCACAGGGTTGGAGCCAGGACCTTCCCTGCTTCTCAAAACAGTCTACACCTTGGTGGACCCTCCACTGTGGGGCAAGAAAAGTCAAAGAAATCAGAGTCTTGTGGGCCCATTAGGGGGTGGGAATCCATAGCCCACCTTGTTCCTGGCAGCGCTGGTGGGTGTGGGCATGTGAGGTGAAAGGGGTTACACGTCTGTACTAATAGCCCTTGGATTGGTGAAGGCCTCGTGCCCAGAGCCTGGCCAGGTCACCGGATAACTCTGGGGCATTGCCATTTTGAGGGGTGGGGGACCCCCTTCCTTGTAGTACGGGGGCACAAAGGACAGCCTCTCGCCTCCTCCCCCGTTGGGCACCATGTCAGCCGTCCGTATATAAAAGGGAGAGCTGTATGGGGAGCAGGCAGTACAATAGCTGCCCACCTCCCCGAACGGTTGGCTGAAGGGCTCGCTGGCAAGAGGTGCCAGGCTGCCTCGGCCGTCCAGAGCTTGGGAGCTGCAGGCATTGCATGTGGGACCTCTGGGGTGCGTAGGGAGGTCGTGCTCCTCCTCCTCTTCCTCATCTGCATCCTCTGCTCCACTCTTCTTGCAGCAATAATACTGAAGGGGGAGAGGAGACAGGGATGCCTGAGAGGCATGATGCTCCTAGGCCCCTCACACTCCAGAGTACGCACAGATTCCTAGGCCTCCCTGCTCCATCAAGTAAACTGTTGGTGCTGGGAATAAAACGGGGCACCAGAGGCCCATGTTCTATATGAATAGATTCCCAGATAGGCAAGACCAGTGAATCCAGTGCTGTTGAGTCAATTTTGACTCATGGCGATCCCATGTGCACAGAAAAGAATTGCACCATAAGGTTTTCAAGGCTGTGACCTTTCAGAAGCATATTCCCAGGCCTTTCTTTGGAGGTGCTTCTGGCTGGGTTCAAGCTGTCAACCTTTTAAAGTTAGTAGTCAAATACTTAACTGTTTATACCACCAAAGGATTCCCAAGTACTTATTTTTTTCATTCCCGTACTTCCCAGTGTATTAACTGTAGCCCAAAGGATCAGAACTGGACTGTGAACCACAAGGTCAGCAGTTCAAACCCACAAGGTGCTCCCCGGAACTGATTCGAAGGCACTAACAACAACAACATCCTGGTCGAGGCAGATTAGGTGGAAGGGGCTTACAAGTCATAATGAGGATCGGGCTGGGGACTGCTGGGAGCAGCTTTCCAAGTGTCTTCTGAGACACAACATTATAATCCAGTATCTTCTATGCACACTTTCCTTGGGTGCCCTGAAGTGTGCCGAGTGTCAGGGGCCATGGCTCCTCTCTGGCCACTCCAACTCCCAGCCTCCCTGTTTTATGCCTCCCACTTTCCATGACTTCAGCCCCAATGGGAATCTCCAGTTTCTGCTTTCATATGTGGAAGCAGTCTGCTGGTGGCCCTGTGGACTTTGGGGACCAAAGGTGACTGACCTGGAGGCGGCAGTAGCACAGGACAGCGATGATGCAGAGTAGGATCACCGTGGCTAGGATTCCGCCAGTGATTACAACCGTTCCCGCTGTCATCCGCCCGGTGCCCCATCAAACTCTGCAAAGCATGGGAGTGAGGGGTGAGGAGCAGCAAGGCTTCTAGTGGCAATGGGGCAGGATACATCCATCTGGGAACTCTGCCTGGTTGGAGGCTGAGGGACCTGAGTGAGCAGGAGCAGGTGGGCTCCTAGCACTGAGCTCCACAGGCTTTGAGGACAGAGGGCTGGCTGTCCCTTGGGGCCTGAGCTAGTCTAAGCTGGTGGTGGTAGTTTGGGGGTTTTAAGGGGATATTCCTGCAAGAGAGAAGAGGGAAAGCAGAGTGCTAATTGGAGCTGGAGTTCTGCTCCCTTGTTTCTGGGCAGTTGTCCATTTCCTTTCATCCTCGTCTCCCCTTTTTTCTCTCCTTAAAACTTCTCTTTCCCTCCTCAAAATGTCAGACACAGAGAATAACAGCTTTTGCTTATGGAAGGTCTTAATCTGTGCCAGGCATTGCATTATTCCTTTTCCTACATGGATTTAATCCTCACAGTAACCTTTAGGGATGGTTATTAATTCTCCTTATTATATGTATGAGTACACTGAGGCTTAGATTGATTTGGCTGGGATTCCACCCAGCTATTCATCCCAAAGGCCATGGTCTTCATTGCTGCCCTTCCAAGTGCATGCACCAATGGTCCCTGAGCCCTTGGCAGGAATGGACAAAGTCAAAATCTTGGAAGTTCCATCTGGTTCTGCCCTGCCCCAACACATGCTCCTTTGGGGGTATCTCTCTTTTCCTTCAAGCTGTCATAGAAAACAAGGGCAAGGCAAGTCCAGAGGACACTGGCGGGCAGTATTCTGGCTCCTGCCCAGCTGGCTCCTGCAGGGAGACTGAGTCCTGTCTTGGCTGATGGGGTGGAGATAATGGGACAGAGGCAGGCTTTGGGTGTAAGGCTGTTCTGGTCTTGGGCAGTCTGTCCTATCAGGTTAGTGAGTACGGAGTTCAGAGCCTCCCAGGGCCAAGGTGGTGTGTGCTATGGGAACAGCAGGCTGGGGAGGTGCTTTGGCATCCTGAGGAGAAAGGAACACTTACGTTCAGTAAAGGGAATGATGACCTGCAAGACAACAAAAGTGACAGAGATGTTGGAAGAATAATGTTACCCCTGAAAACACCAAGCATTAGATTTTTCCCTTAGCAGAACTCCACCCTCATTTTACTCTCCTCACACTCAGTGAGCCTATGAACCCCAAATCTGGGGCTCCAGTGATGTCTCCAACTGCTAATAGATAGACACCTATCTCAAGTGTGTGCTCCACTGTCAACTCAAAGTCAACTACAGCAGGCTAAAACCAGAGCCCTGCTCTCTAGATAGGCCTGCCTCCCCATCCCCGCCACCTCTGTTTATGGTTCCTCCAGAGCGGCTTTGCAAGTAGGGCCTGGAGTTCGACCTGCACTTGCCTCACGAAGCTGTGTTCGCCTGGTGGAAGAAGCATTTTGTGTCACCCAGAGGTTCCATCTGCTCACCACACTGCTCACAGAGGGCTGCATCCACCCAGCGGCACCATTTCTCACTCATTCAGAGGCGCTGTCCTTGGACTACTCATAATGTGCACTGAGGACCAGCAGCTCAGGCCTCACCGGGGAACTTGTTAAAAATACAGAATCTTGGGCTCCACCCCAGACCCACTAAGCTAGAATCTGTATTTCAGTAGATTTAAAATTAATGTCCTGGTATGGCGCTGTAGTATAAGCACTTGACTGCAAGGTCAGTTTGAACCACAAGATTCTTGGTTCAAACTCACCAGCTGCTCCTCAGAAACGCTATACAGGGTTGCTATGAGTCTGTTTGAACCTACTTGATGACATTTAACAAGAAGAAGAAGATCAATGTGAACTTTAGAGAGTGTTGTACAGACCATTGGATAGCCTTGGGTTTCATCACTGCGCTAGTTGCCTGGACTTTTAATTCCTTAAACTATTTTTTTTGGCTTCCCTCAGTCTTCCTCTAAGAATGCCCCCCATCCTGACTGCCCCATCCCCTGATGCTGTCTCTCATTTCTGGAGACCTACTGCAATGCTTTTCCACGCTTCAAATCCTGTCTTGAGATACCAGTCAACGTTTCATGTAGAATATCTTGACTCTCAACTGAATGACAAGTCCTTTGGCACCAGGAGTTATGCATTATATACTGTTTCTTACAACTCCATCTCAGCCCCCAGTGTCTGGCAAACAGTAATTCTTAATAAAAGTTGGTAATCTTTTCCAGGGAGTCTTGGTACGGTGCTGTAGGATAAGCACTGGACCATTCATTGCAAGGTCAGTGGTTCAAACCCACCATTAGCTCCTCAGAAACCCTATACAAGGTGGTTATGAGTCAAAATCGACTCCACAGCCCTTAACAACAATCTTTTCTCTGTATAGCTTTTCTTCCACAGACCTGACAGTTATGAATCTAATCTGCCACCAGGGGGCAGATAGTTGTATCGCTCAGTTTATATCTATCTGTATACTTGGGCATTGTTGTTGTTGTTATGTGCCGTGGAATCGGTTCCGACTCATAGTGACCCTGTACAGGGTTTCCGAGGCTGTAAATCTTTACAGAAGCAGAAAGCCTCCTCTTTCTCCCGTGGAACAGCTGGTAGTTTCGAACTGCTGACCTTGAGGTTCGCAGCCCGATTCATAACCACTACGCTACCAGAGCTCCTTAGACTTGGGCATTACTGTTTAAAATTAATTTTACTTTGCCCAGTTGCATGTTGGGGTCCTGGTGTGGCACTGTAGGATAAGTACCAAACTGCTAACCAAAGGTTGGCAGTTCAAACCACTTCTTGGAAACTCTGTAAAGGGTCACTATGAGTCAGAACCAACTTAATGGCACTTATCAACAACAGATGCATGATGGGCTGTTCTTCAGGGATTCACTGAGATATTTTGTAGTAGAGGAGATGAGTCTCTGCCTAGGGAGCAGAGCTGAGGCCTACAGCCAGAAGGTGATTTTATTACAACTCCTGCTGTATGCTCTCCACTGAGGGCTGCTTACGGGACAGAAAGACCTGAAGTTGAGAGAGGTAGCAGTGACCCACACTACTGAAGGTCTTGGTCTAGTCCTATTTTAGAAGACAGGAGTTATGAGATGAGTGTTCTCCTTTCTCCCTGCCCTCCACACCTGGCAGCACTACCTCTTTCAGCACTGCCAAGGCTGGCCCGCAGCAGGGAGCTGATATTGGGTAGATGGCAATGCAGGCAGAGCAGGGTTCTCAGGCCCAGGTTTAAGGCTCAATTCTGCCACTTAGCAGCCGCTCCATCTTGGAAACTGACATCTTTCTCTGTTTCCTCACTTGTAGAATAGATTTTAACAACAAAAACTTAAAAAATAAATCAGCTCAGGTATGATTATGTGGAAAAACTGAGATTCATGTATGTAAAGGCAATTTGTAAAGTGTAAAACGTCCTAAAAATACGTTAATTTATGGGAAAAATGGAGACCCAGACATGTTGTGGTGGTTTAAGTCTAACCTTAAAACCATGAGCCAGGAAAACACATACAAAGGGTGAGATATGAACTAGCCAAGTTCCAGAGAGTTTCCCTGAAGAACCAGTCTTTGTCCAGTGGTTCTGTCCTGTGTCATTTCAGGTCAGCTCATTTTCTATTTTCAACTAGAAGTAAATGGTGACAATAAGTCCCTATAATTAAACAACACCCTACAGTTTACAAAGTGCTTCCACTTGTACTATCACCTGTGGTGGGCATGCTCGAAGATTACCCCAAATGACTCCCGCCTTCTAGTATTCATGTCCTTGTATAATCCCCTCTCCTTGAGTGGGAGTGACCCCTGTGACTAGCTTCTAATTAACTAATAGACGTCATGTCTGTGAATAGATTACATATGATTCTGACTTCCCTCTTACTAGCAGACTGTCTTCCTTGTTAGCTTTGATGAAACAAGTTGGCATGTGGGGAGGCCCACATGGCAAGGGACTGAGGGTGGCCTCCAGTTAACAGTCAGCTGAGAACTAAGGACTTTAGTCCAACAACCCCAAAGAAACAGAATCCTGCCAACAACCACATAATCAAGAATGGAAGTGAGTCCTTCCCCAGCTGAACTTTCAGATGAAACCACAGCCCCAACCAAAATCTTAATTGTAGTTTCATGACAGACCCTGAGGCACCAGGCCCAGCTAAGCCGTGTCTGCATTCCAGACCCACAGCAACAGTGAGATAATTACTAAGTGTTGTCTTAAGCTGCTTAATTCATGGCAATTTCTTACTCAGCAACAGGAGACTAATACACTTCCCCTGAGTCTTAAAAAAAATCTTGCCAGGCAGGAGGGGAAGTCAGATTCATTAAGTGATTTGCCTAAAGTCACATAATAGCAAGTATTTGAGTCAGGACCCAAGGGCTGCCTACTGGTTAGCTTCCAGAGGACAGGAGAAAGAGGTCCTCATATCCGGTCTAGAGGTCTAGCAGATCTGGGACAGAATGATTCAGTGGTGGCCAATTCCGTCACTGGAGACAACCAAGGAGAACAACGCTGTTGCCAACTAAAGACTCTTGGGAGTCTGGCATCTGGTCATGATTTTCTAGAACTCCCTTTTCCACCCAGATCCTGGATACCTTCTCCTGGGGGAAGAGAGGAGCAGTGCTTTATACATACGTGAAACAGCTGGAGCAGTGATCGCTCAGTCACACAGGCTGGGCCTGAGAAGACAGCAGTTGGGGGCACATCATGGCCAAGAGCATCAATTCCTGACAGAGAAGAGAGGGGAAGATCAGTGAGAGGGACACGGCAGGATGGGAGGACAGCAGGCTTACACTAGTGCTCGTCATGACCTCATGGCGGTGGAGTGGAGGTTCCCAGAAGGGGATGCTTCTTGACCTCGGTTATGGATTGGATTGTCTCCCAAAATATGTATCAAAGTCCTAACCACTACATTTGTGGATGTAATCCTAGCTAGGAATAGGATTTTGTTATGCTAATGACACCATATCGGTGTAACTTGGGCCCTAAACCTAATCAGTTCTGAGTATGGTAAAAAACAAAAAAAGTCATATTTGACACACACAGAATAATGCATGCTAGGGCAGATATATGTCATGTGAAGATCCCAAGGAGCCGGGAATGCCAGGGCTACAGAAGCTGAGATCTTACCCTAGGGCTGACCTAGAGAAACTTCCCCTGTAACCAGGGCCCTGAACTGGGACTTTTGACCTCCTGAACTGGGAGACACTAAACTCCCTAATTGTGGTATTTGCATTATAGCAGTACTAGGAAACTAGACACCTTACATCGCTGCCTCGGTTCCCAAGTCCCTCAGCCTAAGGACCTGAGGACAGACCCTATCCCGTCCCTATTGCCCTCCCTCAGCGCTGCTGTCCTGTCCTGGAACATGAGCATCAGTGTGGGGAGTAGGTCTAACTGCTTCCTTTACCCTCGACTAAAGAATGTAACCAAAGTCCCCCCAGCAGAAGTGTCCTTCATACCTGCATGGTCCTTCTCTCTAGGACACCATATACCTCTTGATCACCCTTCCCCACTTTTCTCTGAACATATCCATTCTTTCCAATGCCCAGAGCTGCATATCCTTTCCCTCATTCCAATATCCCAACTTCCCTCAGGCAGAACATGCCAACTGGACAATGTGATAAGCAAATCCAGGCTGATAGCTGATGGGCCTTACTGAGACATTTAGGAATATAAATGTCTCTTCCAACCCAAATTCTAGAAATAGCCCTATAACACTATTTAGAGGAGAGGCTGGACCCTACACTGGGAACAGGATGGGTGGTGGAGGGAGAGGGGGTGAAGGGCACTGTCATGGATTAAATTGTGTCTCCCCAAAATATGTGTCAACATGACTGGCCCATGATTCTCTGATTTGGCAGTTATGTAATGATGCAACCTGGCAGTTACACAATGATATAATCATACCCCATAATGTGTGTGGTCTGATGTGATCAGTCAATTAGTTGTATGGGGCTTAAGTTAGAATATAACATCCTTGCTTATTTAGGTCACAGACCTGATTCAATGTAAAGGGAGTGTGTGGCCTACATCAAGAGATAAAAAGGAGAGAGAAGTGAGCAAGGAAGGCAGAACCTGACTACTACCAAGAAAGAAGATTCAGGAATGGAGCACATCCTTTGGATCCAGGGTCCCTGTGCTGAGAACCTCCTAGACACAGGGACAAATTGTAGGCCCAAGGGATGCCGGGACTACAGGTGTTGAAGTGAGACAAGGACTTCCCCCCACAAATGACACACAGAGAAAGTCTTGCCCTAGAGCTGGCACCCTGAATTTGGAATTTTAGTCTCCTAAATGAAGAGAATAAATTTCTTTCTGCTAAAGCCATCCACTAAGGAGCTCTGGTAGCGTAGTGGTTACGAATCGGACTGCAAACCTTAAGGTCAGTGGTTCGAAACTACCAGCCGCTCTGTGGGAGAAAGATGAGGCTTTCTACTCCCGTAAGGATTTACACCCTCGGAAACCCTGTACAGGGTCGCTATGGGTCGGGACTGACTCGAAGGCACTTCACAACAACAACAAAGCCATCCACTAATTGTAGTTCCTCTATAGCAGCACTAGAGAACAAAGCTAGACAGCCACTGGTGGTGACTCTTGGCCTCTGCTCAGTTGTCCTGAGGAATGGAGGCCCCACTGGGATGCATTGGGCAGGAACCCAACCATTTCACCAGATCCACAGATCTTCCAGGGACACAGGGCTGACCAATTCTAAGGGCTCTGCCAAGGCCAGAAGGTGGAGGACAAAGATCAGACATTAGCGTATCCTCCTCTGAGATCAGTGGTGTCGGAGGAGAGCTCTAGAAGTACAGAAGTAGGCAGAGGATCTCCTATGACGTGGCTCTGCCCCCACCCTCATTTCCCATCTCTATCTGGGTCTCTCAGCTCCTCGCATGGATACATGGGCACTCAGACTCCAGCTCTCTAAGATGCTTTCCCCACTCTCATTATTAGAACTGGATATTAGAGTAGACTCTTCCTGGTGGTGATGATGTGCCATTGAGTCTATTCTGACTCATAGAGACCCTGTATAGGATTTCTAAGGCTGTAAATCTTTACAGGAGCAGAAATTCTCATTTTTCTCCTGTGGAGAGGCCGGTGGGTTTGAAGCGCTGATCTTGTGGTTTTGTAATCCCTATACTACCAGGGCTCCCATCCTCTTCCTACCTAAGGTTTAATAATTATTTACATGAAAAGATGTACATTCAGATGGCATTGCAGCATTCTTCAAACTGTGCATTCTCACTGTCCTTCTTTGAGATTTCCCATCACCATTGATTTAGACTCACTGTCCCCTAGCTGCTCAACCAAACTTTCAAGTTGCGGTCACCAATTAGATCTCATAGAGATAATTCTTTAAAAGAGTGCAATGCTGCACCAGCCTGCCTAAGTTTTGATTGTGATGCTAATAGGTAGAAATCAAAATACAACATGAGTTAGAGTTAGGCGTCTCCTACCCACCTGTCTTGTGCAGACAGTACTATGAGAATGTAAGAAAACCAGTTTCACAGTTCTACGAACCCTTTCACACGCTTTATAAAATACAAGAGGTCACTACTTTGGTGAGAGTTTGGTAAGGAAGATTTCTTTGGCGAGAACAGTTGCTGAGATATGAATTCCTACTGCCCAACTGTAAGGGAGCAATGGTGAGGCGCTACTTTTTAACACCAAGGGGAGCCAGAGCAGCCTCTGGGGAACCACTTCAGGCGTTTGGAAATGAGCTCCCACCAGGTAGGAGGCTAGAAGGATGGAGCCCTGGACTCTAGCCTGAGAAAGCTGGAGTAGGCTGAACCAGGCATGGTCTCATGGAGAGAAGTACAAAAGGCCCTTGTGGCAGAGCTAGGAGAGCACAGGCTTAAACGCACGGAATCTGCCAGGATGGATGCCAGGGTGTTTTCCATGGACCAGCTGTGGGCTGTGTGGAGAGCTGTTGTGAGTCCTGTTCAGCAGTACCACCTAAAGAAGTCAAAGACTCCAGCGGAAGAGGCAAGAGGTGGGCTCTAGATGCTCAGAGGCTGAACATGGAGTTGCAAGGGACCCATGGAATAGAAATCATGTGCTGGCCTGGATTAAGGAAACCCTAGGAAAGAGGAACCCAGTAAAGATCTCTGAAGAACCCACAAAAATATTTACTAGAGCCCAAGCCAGTTTTTATTTCCTCCTAGGCCCAGAAAGCTGAAAGCATCCAGCCATTATGAACCTGCAACTGTCATCTCATCAGGTAGTGAAACAATGAGTAGTGGGGTTCTCTCGAGGGGGAGAGCAGAGGTGAAGACAGCAGAAGGACCTGGCTGCCTCCCCAGCAGTGCCAGCCTGAAGCCGATTCAAGCACAGGATGGAAAGAGATTAACACTGTCAGAGTGGTTTGATTAATACTTATGGCTGGCATTCTAATTTCTGAATTGAGGATATATTAATAAGTTAAAGTGACTGTTAGCCTAAGTATCACCTACAAGGAAATGAAAAATCAATGTAACCAGGCTGAGTTTTTATCTAGGGTCAGGGTAAGATTTCTCCCACTGAATACATTTTAAAATCAAGAGAAGCTAAGAAAGTTGGAAAAAAAAAGGGGGGGGGGCAGAATTAAAGTTGCTTTTTAATCATAAACCCTGCAACATGTTTGTTTAACATTCTAGTCACTGATAGAAAAATGACCCATGGGAATGAAGGACTCGAAAAGATCTGACCCAATATCTTCATTTTCTAGATGAAGAAACTAAGTTCAGAGTGGACAAGTACTTTGAGTAACCACACACAGCAAGAGAAAGACTGAGCTGGAGGGGTGCTGGGTGTAGAACCAGGGCCCTGCCAATAGGATGCTGTTTCTCTTTCACTCTTTTCACCAGGAGTTAAGGTGTCCCCTGAAGCAAGACAATCACTTGAGCCATATGTGAGGTCACACTGACAACAGCAACTGGAAAGGTTGGATGAGAAGCTTTGGGCAGTGAGTTTTTGACAATGGTGGTGGAAAGATGTTGGAGAGGAAAGTGAGAATTGTGGCACAATGTGGAGAATTGTACATGTAGAAATTGTATGTCTTTGGCTGTAGATATTTTTCACCAAAATTAAAACAGCAACAAAACTACACTGCAGGGCATGCCCCTACCTACTGAAGCAATATCTTCAATGGAGGACCCAGGAATCTGTGTTTCAGAAGGTCTGATGGAAATGATACGGGAATGAAGGGCTTTGATAGGATTTCAGGCTGGAGGTAGCAGGGAGGTAAGTGACCTTGTGGAGTCCCTGGCATCATCTGCCACCCACGATACAACTGGCTTTGGGTTCTGTGTCCTTGGGGCAAGTAGGTCAGAAGGAAGGAGGAGGAGGGAAGTTTGAGGAGAACCAAAACTACATGGTGTCAGTAACCCTACCAGAATGTGCTGGCAAATGAGTCTTCCACCCCTCACAAGGCAAGGGGTCTATTTTCTCTGGAGGGTCCCTATAAGCCATTGACTTCAGCCTCCCTGAAGCAGGGTCACCTCCTCTCATTGCTTGGTGAACATTGGCAGGAAACGCCAGCCACAGCTGGCAATATCACATGTAATTAACAATCTGGAGGCCCTCTGCTCCCTGCTTCGTCCCCTGAGGAACACAAGTTAATTGAGTGGGGTTTAAGCACTGGCTGATATCAATTTTTTCCCAATGTAATTAAGCCTTCTCCAATTGTTTCGTAACTCATGAAACTGATACAACAGGTTAGCAAGCACTGGAAGAGAGGAATAG